TTTTGTGTAAATTATACGTCACACTACGTTTCACAACCTCTCAATATGAGTTGGTGAGACCAAAGTCACAGGTGCTTACCTGATCGATATGTCATACAGTTTTATCGTAACGCATTTCTGCAAATTTGAATTTTGTCGCCAGTAGGATTCGAACTCTTGTTCTGCCGCTTGGGGTGCGACAACTTACCAACTACACTAAGTCGCCACACCCTCAATAGTACAATCTTTTATAAAGTATTGGAGACTATAATACATTATAAAATTAGCTTTTAACCAAGCAAGTCTTTAGTTTATACTAGCAACTAAACTCAGCAGGATCTGAAGAAATGTTAATGTTAATAAGAATAAGTCAAGGAATGCAACTTTTGGAAGCAACTAAAAACATGTGGTTTGAAGGACTACCAGATATTTGTAGCTGCCTGTGGAAAATAATTTGGCTTGCCTAACATTGCTGAAGGCTAAGGTGTTAAACATTATATTTAAATTTAGAAGTATAAAGCTTATAGGTGAAGACAAGAATTTCAGAATAGCAAATATTCTTAGAAAGAAATTTATACTGCAAGTGGTAGCAATGTTTAGGAAGCTTAACATTATATCGCTCAAACAACTATTAACATATATATAACCTGGCAGCAATTCAAAACACTTAAACATCTTTCATATAGAAGTAAAAGTGCAAAATGATTTCGTTTAATAGAGGAAGCAGTAATTAAAATTAATGAAGAGAGGACTGTAAAGCCAGAGTATAGAATAGAAAGTTCTAGTCTTTGGTCACTTCAAATTTCTGTAGACTCTTTAGAAGCAGATAGAAAAAAGAAAGAAAGAGTTTTGGTAAAAGCATCTAAAACAGAAGAAAATAAATCTATATCGGTTAGAAGAATTATATGAAAACCAAAGAAGAGATAACTTACAGAACATTGGAAACCAAATACAGATCCAAGTATAAGAAGCATAACTTTGGAAAGATGCAAAGGTTGCGAATTTAACCAAGAAAAGGAAAAGAACTCTTGTAAAAGCTGTTTAAGTGAAGAGAAGATTCAAGGCTCTATAACAAGATTTGTTACAAAATAGGAAAGCTTTAAAGATTAATTTAGGGGTCCCTTAAAGCGGGGCAGATTTACATATTGATCTATATATTGCATAACTTGCGTTCTTGATATTTTAATAAACCGTTAACTCTAACTGAATCAAAAAAGTAACCTTAACTTCTGCCGGGCTTTAAGGACCCCCTTAATTTAGAAATAATACAATCAATGCAAGTCTCCTCCAAACTGAAGATACCAAGAGGTAAAAGGTAATTCAAGAAATTAGAGTTTATGGTTTAAATATAGAAATTATTAAGAAACAACAAATCAGTCAAGAAATGCAATACTTTCTATTAGAAAAGAATAGAAAATTACAGGAATGCTCTCTGACACAGTTTAAGTTTTATACTGAAAGATCATTAAGAAATAGCAAAAAATAATCTCAATCAGAACCAGACAGAATAAGAGCAAGCTGGGTGCTAGTATATGAAGAAAAAAGAGAATTAATTAATGAAGAGTATTTTAGAGCAAGAAATTGGACATCTTCAATGAAAGCAGAGTTACTTAGAATCTGGTGTGCATTGTTTATTATACTCAGCAAAAAGAAAGTTAGGATTTGCACAGATAGTATGATAGCTATAACTAACACAGGTCGAAAGAAGCCATACCGGAGAAATATCAGAATGCCAATATGCACTGATATGAGTACTAATGTGAGTCGAAGATGTACTGATATTAATTGCCAATTTTTAACTGGAAGATATCCGATATTAACCCGGAGTTT